TCAATGATAAAATGTGAAGCTAGTCATAAAGGGTTAGGGGCTTGCCTTGAACAGGCGATCGAACCGGGAGTTTGGGCTCCAACCGCTTTTGCTTCGCGTTTCCTTAATAATGCGGAGGCGAAGTATAGTACCAAAAACATGGAATTGTTAGCGATTGTTTGGGCTTTTGAAAACTTTCCTACATATTTGTTGGGAAAATGTTTTCAAGTGCTGACTGATCATAAAGCCATTATCTCGGCGTTAAATGAAAATTACAATAACTAATTGAATCAATCTCGTCTTTCTAGTTGGGCACATAGATTATTACCCTTCGATTTTGAAGTTATTCATGTCCCTGGGGTCACTTTGGGTATTGTTGATTACTTAACTCGTTACCCTACATTTTCGGCTCCTAAACCCTCAAACTGTGACGTACTTTTTGTTGTTAAGTCCATTGAGGCTTTCAATAAAGCCTTAGCTTTAATCATATCCTTTTGTTTATCCAAGTTAAGGTCTGGGTTTTGTCCTCCTTTGCAAGAGGGTGTTGATTTTACAACTCAGCATCGTTCTTTGCGATCTTCTCAGCGTTCTCCGGTAGCGGGCGACGGAAATACACTCAGCGATTGAACCAATCAAATCGTGTTACGCAAATAGGTCAATTAAATTTGTCATCGATAGAGGGCGTCGAATTGTGCTCGGAAAGTGTTTGCCAATCGAAAACCAGTATGCTAATTAAAAATCTTAAACCAGATATTTTCACTCAAGATTATTGTCTTCGACCTGAATCTTCACAAAACAGTCACTCACTTATGCTATCTAAAATCAATAACTATTTTTATTCTACTCTTTCAAATCTAAACTCTTTCATTATGAATCAACCGCCAGATACTGAAAACGGACTCACTGGAAACGACCCAAACTCTATCTAACGAACGTCTCTATCGACTTTCATACTATACTAAACTCAACGGCCGAACAAACCGATCTACTGACTTTTGTGGAAAACTTTCCATTGCACTCGCTGAACCTCAGACGGCCAAGCCCGCGTCATCCGATACGGTCTCGACAATTGATTTCCAGAATCGACCAAATCCGCCAAGATAACAGAACCCGCGAACGAGCTGCCAAAACCCGTTTTGTCACTGCGAAGACTAACTCCCGTAAAGAAGGACACGCTCAGTTGTTGGAAGCCATGAAGCAGTGCCAGTTGTCTAAACCTGGGAAGCTGAACACAGCCGCAAACATAGGAGTTTTTGCGGTCAATGGAGGCAAGCCGATCCTTTCCAAATCTACGAAGGACATTGTGGGACTGCCAGGCCTCTTCGGTGCTGACTCACAGACGAGGACTGATTCCTGGGCGCCATGAAAAGCGCCATAGCCAATAAAGACGTCACTACTTTCAACAAGTTGGGGTCATAAATGGCCCAATTGTGGACCAAGGCAGCGGTGGTCAATGATTGTGTAATTGTGGATAACAAATTGGCAATCCCGAACCTCTGAGAAAAGCTGTCCTTGTCCGACTTCATTGTTCTCACACGGGGCAAGAGGCCGTGATGTCTGCCTCTGATTACATTTGGTGGCCGTTTCTTAACCAACAGATTGTCGATACTTGTGAGAAGTGTCGCGAATGCACGCTGTATGGTAAGCATCTTAAAACCGCTAAGACTTTTCATACCGCACAATTTTTACCTAGTCTGTCTGGGCCAAATCAGGATTTACTGTTAGATATCGCCGGTCCTATATTAGATGATAAGGGTTCTAAAATCTTTCTTTTAGTAGCCGTGGATCGTTTCTCTAAATTTCCTTCGGTTCTTATTACAAAAACTACTGGGGCAAAGAAGGTTAATAAATTCCTCGCATCATACAAACACATTCATGGTATACCTCAATCTGTCAGAACCAATAACGGATCTGGGTTTAAAAAAGACTTGGTACAACAATTTTGCTCTAGTAAAGGCATTAAACATAATCTTTCACCAGTTGGAGTCACAGAGGCAGTGGTTTGGTTGATCGTTCAATACAGACTTTAAAACGAAAATTGGATACCTCATAACTTGATCCTAATTTTGGTAATTTTAAGGAAACGATTCAACAAACAGTCGAAGATATTCGAAAAACTAATCTTTCAGTGCTGAAAAATTGCCTTTCGAATTACATTTTCGTCTCAGGCTTATCATAATATTGTTAAAATTGATACATCAGCCCAAGGACTAGAACGTAACCTCCTCACGCCGGATCAGATTGCCAACGAGGACTGTAGCAGGGATCGCGCTAAGGTGGTTCTCAGAGGCAGCGCCAGCCCTACGATTACTCCTCGTTTTCAACCGATGTTTTCCCTAGACATCAATGTCGCGGACAGTGATCCTTACAAAGCGTTGGCTGAGTTCGCTCGGGCAGCGAACAAATGGTCACAGTACAAGCGCAATCTCCCGGCGGACAGTGGCAAACGGGTCTTAAAAGAGCTGTCAAGTCATCATTCAGACCTTGCCCATTCGCTGAAGACAGGCCTTACACGTAACACTCTTAGTTTCTCGGATCACGGGCCCAGTTCTACGCCTCCGGCTCCAAATAATTCTCGAAAGTTGCCGGTTCAGCAATCTCGTAGTCCAACCAAAATAAGTAACTTGGAAAAACTTCTTTTTTCCGAACCTAGTCAAGTAGAGACATTCATCTAAACATTAACTCTTGTAATCAACTATTCAACTAACTAGAGTTAGAGTCTTTAGGAAAATTATAGATCGCCAATCCGGAAAACCTCTTCATAAGACTGCAAAGTTCAAGATTACTCAGGTTACCAATCATAATTATGTCACTGACAACGGGAAACTTTACCGTAAAAATCATATTTGCCTTACGCCTAACTTTCGTTACAACATTTCATTCGGCCAAAACACACTAGGTGATCGTCTTCCTGCCTCATCCTCAACCTCTCACAGTGCGGTCATAAGGGCAGCTACTAGGTATCAGCCAGTTATGTTGGATCAACGATCGAAGAATCCCAGCTTGTCTGACCCAATAGTATTTGACCTTACAGCAGATTCGTCCAGTGAGGGCTCGCCTGGGTCAAACCACCTCCAAGTGGTCAGAGAATCTAACCCAGTCGGGAAACGCATCAAATTGCACAAGGATTCACCGCCGTTACGTTCGCTCATCCGACTAGTTCATCCGCTCAGCCGTCTAACATAGACAGTACAACCTCTTCGCCGCCTGCCGCCTCTGCTGCCAAGATTAATGGTTCCGGATGGTGTGTCTTCAGAGGGTCTTATTCAACCCTCACAGGGTGCGCTCTCGGAACCGCGTTCTTCATATCCGTCGTTGTCTCCTCCTGTTCAGCCAATGGTGGACAATTCAGAGGCGGTCAGGGCCTCTTCACGCAGTAAGAAACCCACCAAATTCTTCTGTGATTCCCTGCGTCACTCTATCAAGTTGGTAAAAGAGGCTCAAGTCAGCCAATCGCTCATCGGAGGGCCAACTCAGGATTCGCTCTCAGGAAGTGCTCCCTCTTTTCTGCCATCTCCACGGAAAAACCCCTCATTAGAAACAGGCCCCATATTGACATAATGGAGGTGTCTCCTGCTTCCTTTGCAGACATTAGCAAACTCTTGATACAAAATGACTAGTGCCAGAACATAAATCTTTTCCAAACTCTGTTAACCTTTTTGTGCTATACATTTAGTTTCATATTCTTTATCACCAAGCATTTGTGTGGGATAGAGGTGCTATCATGCTAATGCTTACCTTGGTGCCGTATATTTTTCTCAATACCAAATTTCGTAAAATTTTCCAAAATTTTTCCTCCCGCGGGGAATGGCATGAGGCGACCTTCGGTACCTCGCTTTCAACATGTTCTTCTTGCAGCCACGCTGCAGCCTTATACTTATTAACGCTAATCAAGGTCACTGATGGGCCTATACTGAATGCCACGCTGTGCGTGGTCACTCTGTTGTTTTTTTTTTACTTCGCTGTTAGATGTATATTTAATTCTTGGGTTTCTTTTTCCTCAGTTAAAGTTCATACCGATAAAAAATACTAAATTGATACTGAGTATCTAAACATTAACTCTTGTAATCAACTATTCAATTAATTTATCAATTTTTATCTGACTAAACAACTAAGTTTTGATTCGTTATTTCTCGGCAAATGTCACACGCAGAGCACAAATATTCCGTTACTTTCGTTACGAAAGTCGGAACAAAAATATACAATTGTGAGCAAACAAAATTAGATTACTCTGCGAATATTTAATTAAGCCAAAAAATCATTGAAAATCAATCGTAAGCGATTTGTTTTTCATTTTTTTGAGATGAGAATTTCAACGCACATAAAGTGTTTTCTACGTTTTAAAGTAAAGTTGGTAACGTGTTGTTCAAGTTTTTTTCAGCTTAACTTTGAATTTTGTTACTATTTTGATGTTACTTAACTTCTCATTTTCGTTACATTTAAAAATTTTCTCATATTATTGGTAGAGTGTAAAACTGTTGGTGGACTGTTTTGCAAGGGATCGAGTGCCGAGAAAAAGGTATTTTTTGGCCAAAGTTTTCAAAAAATGGCACTTCTGACGGGGGGGGGGGGTAGGGGGATGGTTTAGGTATTTTAGGTGGCTCAGTTGGTTTAGATGGTCGGGGGCAAAAAAGGGCAAACACAGGGATTGGGGTTATAAGGGTGTAACTGGGGCAAACGTTAGGGGGGAGAAGTTAACGGAATTGTTTTGCAATTTGAGAAACTTTAGGTTTAGAAATCCAGCAGGCGGTACACTTGCTTTGCAAAATTTCTGCCTTACTCATTTGATACATGCAGAAACTCTTGCAAAATTTTGCCCGACGCGAAACAGAAAAGATAGTGGGAAAAGTCCTTTTTAGTTGGTTTTAATTTTTCTAAAATTTTTTCGATTATTTCATCAATTTTTTTTTGGGGGGGGGGGGGGGGGGGGGGGGTTAAAGGGCAATCTAAAGTCTCAGGGCTTCGACATGATACTAACACAGGTGCATGGGTTCTAGGCTGGAAATTTATTTCTGTTTCAGTCATTCACTGGCCTGTTGACGCTGGTTCTCAACACTTACATCGTCTGTCTTTTCCTGTTTGCCAGGCAGTTCCGCAAACTAGAGTACTACCCTCTGGCGCTCAACTCGTTCGTCGATATCTTCGGAAGTGGGCTCATCCCCCCAATCACAGAGTTCATGTTCGCAACCTACGAGTTCAACTATGAGAGGGGGCGCGATGCTTTTACAGGATACTTTTTTCGATACTTCGGAGAACGCTACCAAAAGTGAGACAAAAACTTTTCGTATCGCGGTGATTTTTCGGAAGTTGCTCGGATCTCCGACTGTCTTTAAGCATGACTGAACTGCGTCGTGTAACCCGGTTTGAGATCCGCGTTTTAAATCAAATTTTTGTGGGTTTTCAAATAAATAGATTTTGATTTTTGTTTTTGTCAAACCTTCGTGAACTTAGTTCAAAAGAGACAGATTTTCACGAAAATGTTAGCAAATTGATACAACGTATTGATTGGTTTTTAAAAAGAACTTTTCACCCACAAGAACTCTTCTATTTCAAACCGATCTGGAAAAAAAAGATTCAGTAAAATTCTTCATTGTTCCGATATACCATAGGATGACAAAATGATTCAAAGCTTGAGTTTTAGTATTGTGATCCATTTGATATGAAAATTATTCGATTTTATTTCGCGATCAACTAAAACCGATCAAACCACATAAGCTCATGTTTAGTTACACATCGACGCTATGCAAATGATATGTCAATCTTGTGCTCGATCGGTTTTGGTTGAAAAACACTTTTTATTTTAAAACGGGCTTTCGTGCTACCTTTTCTGTCAATTATTATTTTACCACTTCAACTTTGGTTACTATTTTCGCTAGTCCAGGTTTTTGATATATTTCGAGTTAAAATGGCCTGAAAACAATCTAATTTTGAGCTTGTTGTAATTTATTTTAGCACAAGGATACTTCACCCTATGTTTCAGCAACGGTCACAAATCAACTATTTTTGATTCCGTGTTACGAAGAAAAAGATAGAACACTTGTGATTACAAATTCTCCCTACAAATTCCTATGCTCTGACGAAAATGTTTCGAAGAAAATTTCTAAATTTTAGAACTATCAGAAAGAAATTGATGGCCGATACTGTTGCCCTGAGATCAAAAATTGTTTTTTTTTTGTGATGATACTTTTTTCAAAATGTTTGGGTTTCGAAAATGCCCATTACGCCAATTATGGATCATAAATGCGTGCTTTGAAGCTGACAATGTTCAGATGATTTATTCACAAAATACAGAGGTGCATCTAGGATTTTCTAGAGCGAGGGAATATCAAACAAAAATTTAGATGGAACGAAATGATTTTCTGAGCTCTCCCAAATCACTTTTAGTCACTTTTAAGTCGCTTTTAGTCACCTTTTAGAATTTTTTTGATAAAAAATTGCAATTTTTAGCGCACGCTCTGCTCTTAAGTTTATATTTATCGGCGGCACCAGAGGTGCCTTTAGAAGTTTTTAAAGGGCGGTCAGTCAAAAATGGTTGCCTTCGAAGAATATCAAAGGGTGTCCTTTTGGATAGGCAGGGGTCGAATCTCCGAGGGGGAGAGGTGTCCGCTTCTCACTGACCTTAAACTTGCCCCATGGCATTATATGAACTGTTAAGTTTTTTACAGAGAACCGCTTTTGTGGCTGTGATTAAGAATATGTTGTATAGAGTAATTTAGTTCATTTCGGAAGCTGTCAATCAAATGTTCACTCTCGGTGCTAGACTAATTGATTAGCAGGTGTTTGTCCTTGGAACAGTCTGTCACCCTTGGATACTGTTCTCAACCACTCTCTATGCTAACTTTGTAAGATTAAGTTGACTATTTCTTGTATCGGAATTAACAATTAGACGACTATCGTTTTACCTTTTCAACATGGCGCAGCCAGCAGTCTCAGGTGGGGGAAAGAATCCACTGGGCATCACGGGATTTTGGCCAGCGAAATGCACGGAACCGCCAATGATGTGGGAATTTTGGATTAACAGATTCCAATGGGGAATGGTCGCCAAGCACTCACTAAACCCGAAAAACTTTTACTACGCCGCGACTCTCACAGCCGCCCAAGTTACTGACTTGCCCGAGGAAGTAGACGGAAAAAATCGACTGGAATCGGAACAAGTGCTGATTTCGAATCTGTATTTGTGTCTGGGGGAGAAAGGGCAGGACGAACTTCACAAAAGACGACCGCATCTGGATCTCTCGACGATTCGTTACCCACGAATGTTAGACGCACTGGAAACGGAATTTAAGAAAGAAAGAAATGAGACATATGAGACATACCAACTTCTCTCTCGTAGGCAGTTTATCAATGAAAGTTTGGAGCAATTCCATTCCGTACTAAGCGGATTGGCGGCGCGGTGCAACTTTGGAACACTAGAGGACCGGATACTGAGAGACGTATTCATTGTCAACATGAATAACCGTGATGCACAAAAGGAACTATGCAGGTCGACGAAAACACCTGAGGAAGTGTACCGGATAGCTCTCTCGTACGAGAGGGGAAACAAGTATGCATCATCATATGTAGCCACGGGATCAGTGGGGGCCCAAGGATCGACATCAGGAGGCAGAGGGATCCAGATAAAATCGGAACCAGTCGGAATAATCCGTGGAGGTTATCGGAACAATCGTGCAAGGGGCCGATGCTCTTACCAAGGGCGAGGATCGAATCGAGGTAGAAACTTTCCCAATAACAATAAATGCTATAACTGCGATCAACAAAATCTCACCAGGGAACATTTGGACAGATGCCCCGCAAAAAGCGTTACATGCAATTTTTGCCACAAAATTGGCCATTTCGAACGTACCTGTAGGGGGAAGCGTGGAAACCAGCGGGGACAGGGAGCCGTAGGAATGATACGGGAGAATGTTGACGATGGTCATCTGGAAAACTCGGCGGATGAAGAAGCGTCACAACATGCAAGTTCCATTGGATGGGTTAATAAGAATCCAGTGGTGCACTCGTGGGACTCGAGCAGATCAGACGGGGACTATATGGTCATGGCGATAAAACATAAGAAAGTCACAGAATTGAAAGTTGCTGGGGCACAATTGCTGATTAAAGTCAATGGGAAACCCACTCGAGTGTGGATCGATAGCGGGTCTCCAATTTCGATCTTCACCATTGGGGAATTGCGGAAGACTTTGGGAACGTCAGGAGTAAAATTGGATAATCTTACGGAGGAGGACAATGCTTTTCGGAATTATGGAAACAATCCACTACAGATGATTGGTACAATGGCGGTAACAATACAATCAAACGGCTGGAAGATACACGCGAGGATAAAAGTAATCGGAGGGAACCGACCATCAATAATTGGAAGAGATCTGATGCCCCAATTAGGACTCCAGTTGGTGCAACAATCACCAGGGGAACAGATAATGTCCATTGAAGAAGGCAACAAGGACGCACTGGAACCGGAGAGGGAGTTGGATTCATGGCAAACCTATTTCAGTAAGCAGTTTTCAAACCTTTTTAGCAGGGTAGGAAAAATAAGAAACTACAAAGTAGAAGCAGAACTTTTTGAAAACCTCACCCCAGTACAACAGAAGGGGCGTCGAGTTCCGATTTCGTTGCAAGAAAAATTGGATGCTGAAATTGATAAACTATTGCAACAGGGTCATATCGAAAAACTAACACAATGCTCGGACAAATATTTTGTGTCCCCAATAGTAATAACAGTAAAAAAGGATGGGTCCGTGAAATTGGCACTCGAGTCGAGGGAATCAAATAAACAAGTGCATAAGAATAAGTATCAAATACCGAATATCGAGGAACTAATGGACACAGTTGGGCAAACGATTAGTGAGAAAAAACAGGGAGACATATATTTCACAACAATGGAATTAACATACGCATATGGCCAACTGCCATTAAACGCTGAAACGAGCGTACAGTGCAATTTTTCTCTCAATGGAGGCCGCTCGACGGGTACGTACCGGTTCAAGACCGGATTCTATGGTCTAACGACAAAGCCCGCGGAATTCCAACGCGCAATGGATTGCATACTCGCCGAATACCCGCAGGCGCACGCGTTCATCGACGATTTTTTGGTTGTAACTAAGGGAACTGCGATAGACCATATAGCGACGGTAGAGAAAAATTTAAAACTGGATCGTGAAAATATGTCCCTAAAATTAACAAAAATGTAATTTCGCCCAACGAGAATGCGAATGGCTAGGCCTTAAAATAACCCCGACTGGAATCACTCCATTGGTTAGGAAAACAGAACCAATAGAGGCGCTAACGCCGCCGCGGACATTGTCGCAATTAAAATCGTTCATGGGGTCAATCCACAGTCTGCACAAGTATCTACCGGCATTAGCCGAATCATCTGCGCCGCTGCAACCCCTACTAAGCAAAAGTAATGAATACATTTGGACACCTGAATGCCAGAACGCGTTCAAAAATCTTAAGAAACAAGTTTCGAACATTGTTGAATTACGGCATTTTGATATCCACAAGGACATTCGTATAGTGTGCGATGCAAGCCATAACGGGCTCGGCGCGGTGTTGGAACAGTTAGGACCAGAAGGGTGGCGCCCAATTTCGTTTGCCTCGCGATATCTTAACGAAGCGGAAAAGAAATAGTCAACAAACGAATTTGAGATGTTGGCAGATGTGTGGGGGGCTAAATACTTTAGAAATTACATCCTAGGACGAAGTTTTTTGAACGTTACCGATCATAAAGCCCTAATATCCCTTTTGAATGGTAATAATAAGAAAAATAAAACGATGTTTAGCCGTTTAACACGCTGGTTAGATCGACTAATTCCCTTTGATTTTCGAATTGAACATTAACCAGGGGCTAAAATTGGATTGGCGGACTACTTATCACGTCATCCAAGTAGAGAAGCAACGCCAATTAGTACGTATGATAATATGTTTACGGTGGCAAAGATCAACCTAATTCGCACCGCTCTTGGCTTTAATACATCCAAGGGACACAATAAATCCAAGGGACCAATTTGTACAGCGGAAAGAAAGCAATCTATAAATAGACTGGAAGTTTCTTCACGAAATGACTCGGTAGAGGGCGGAAAAACATGTAAGCGGAAATCAACCAATCAGATTCAAACACGTGGTTTGGCCGACGGCTACGCGAAATACGCACTGGATTAGTTGGGGCTATTATTAAATCAGAACAAAGTTGTTCAAAATTATTAAAAACCAATTCTCAAATTTCAACATCAAATATCAAAATGGATCGAAGCATGCGTAAATGGCAGAAATTCCTTAAACAACATCCAAGTTTGAATATTAGTAGCGACGAAATTGAAGAATTGCCCCCAAATGTATCACTAGAGGCCGTTACCAAAGAAACAAGATCAATTCGCACTAACACAACTCTCTCGTTACCCTCGGCATTCAAAGGAGAAACAGTACCACCCGTGAACCCGAATCTATTATGTATGTCAATTAACCCTCGGAATTGCAAAATCGTTAACAAAGTTACTTCATTACCTGATCTGTTTAATCTAAAATTCATAGAATCGAATTATGTATCTGACCCCCAGCTGAGCGCTATTCGCGATCTCATTGTTACACAAGATCCTGAAATCCATGAAAAAATCACTGAAATGAACCGCTATTATGCTCAATTCGTTAATGAATTTTCGGTGAAGGAAAACGTAGTCTGGATGGATGAAAAATTTGTATTTCCAATTGACCTTCAATCAGCAATTAATAACCGAATCCATGCGTATCACCACGGAAAATCAAATATGTTCGATGCAGCAAAAGATGTCTGGTACCCTTATATTTACCGCTCAATAGCTTCCATTGCCGAAGGGTGTCCTGAATGTACCGCAGCTGGTAAGAATTTAAAAACGATAATAAAAAAAAAACAACTTGGAACTGTACCGGAACCAAAAGAACCAAATGAATCAGTCCAATTAGATTTTTGGGGCTCCATCAATTACTTAAATGAACCCCGAAAATATGTATTAGTGGCGGTCGACCGGTTTTCTCGTTGGCCATCGGCAATGGTATGTGGAAATAATCGGTCAGATAAGATATTGAAGTTCTTGAAGAGCTATATAACAAACCATGGGGTGCCACGGAAAATTCACGTTGATCAGGGAACTAGTTTCATGTCAAAGGAGATTAAAGCTTTTTGTAATGAGGTGGGCATTGAAATCATTAAGTCACCAGTAAACGACCATCGAGCAACTGGGTGCGTCGAGCGTACCATTGGCAGTCTTAAGAATTCTATCCTTACCTTCGCTCGAGAAAAGAATACCGAACCCTTGGAGAAAATGGTTGAACGGCCCCTTGGTGCTCTCAGATTCTCAAAAAATTCAACACTAAAAATCTCGCCTTTTGAAGCTCACCATGGCAGAGAAGCGAACACAGTTTTACGGAACCTTACTAAAAAGCCATCTCTTCAAAATCTGGATTGGTCACTGGATATAACAACGAAAATTGCTTGTTTAGATGCCGCCGATCCAAATGCGCCAGACATGCCTCGACCAGCCGATACAAACTGGAGTGTAAGATCAGACCTCGCATATGATATCAAAAACAGGACCCATGCACGACGACTTACAGAGGACCAATCCGCCAATCAACACGACGAACCGTCGATACTTAAAAGTGCAAACTCCAATGGACAACCGGGACCATCTGGATTGTTGTTCCAGCGAACTGGGAACAGAAACCTAAAAAGGTATAAACAACTTCACTCTAAAGTAAGATCCGAGAGTACACATACACTAACTTTAGATAATGGGGTTGTGCTTAGGAAATCGGGAGTGGCCACAAAGCCCAAACCAAAGAAATCGAAAGTTGCAGCTAAATCCGTATTACCGGTACCATCGAGTGGAGTGAAAAAGCGAGCAACTCACCCAGGGTTACCACCGCCGACTCCGCGCGAAGTTAAAGAACGATTGACAAAACGAATTGCGGAAAAACAACGGGAAAGAATCGGGCGCCGATTTGAGAATAGTGGCTCTGAATCGGAAGACAGCGAAGACTTGCCGATTATCTCGGTAAAACGGGCTAAGCAGTCATTAACTACCACCCCCAATGCACCTATAGAACGATTAGCAACAGCAATAACAGACGTCGATGTTGGAAGTGACCAGGACACCATTCCGGCACGAGGCGGTGAGTTGGATCATCATCATCCAAGGGACCAAGGAACGTCCAATCCAGGGGACCAGTCGAAATCTACCACCACCAGTAAGAAGAAGGGAGCCTCATCAAAGAAAGCCAGGCTGGTTTCATACAGCAGCCAGGGTGATAGCCAGGACGAGACCTCATCCACGACGTCTAGAAGAAGCGGGCGCAAGAGAACTGCGGTCACCAAGATGAGGGGCGTAATGATTGACTTCATCAATTAAAACAAGGAAGGAAACGAGTGACCTACAACATCTAGTAAAACTTTCGCTCAAACTGCTCTAACCCAGGGAGAGGGTGGGTCATTAGTGACTTAAAACTCAATTGGTATCACTGCTCAGTGATCTTTTAGTTGTTAAAAATTTGTCATTATTAAAGTCTAAATTGTATCCAAACATGAAGCTAGTAATTCTTTTCAACCATTCATGATCAATCATTTCAGTCATTTAAAATCAACAGGTGAAATCATTTCTATTCAACTAAGGTTTCATTATCGAAGGGGAAGTGTTGTATAGAGTAATTTAGTTCATTTCGGAAGATGTCAATCAAATGTTCACTCTCTGTGCTAGACTAATTGATTAGCAGGTGTTTGTCCTTGGAACAGTCTGTCACCCTTGGATACTGTTCTCAACCACTCTCTATGCTAACTTTGTAAGATTAAGTTGACTATTTCTTGTATCGGAATTAACAATTAGACGACTATCGTTTTACCTTTTCAACAAATAAAAGGCAGTTTTTTCATAATTTTCGCTGGCTAGGTAATGTTGACCCACGTTCAAACAAAAAGCACGGGTAGTTTGGACCTCACACATCCGACATGTAGCCTAACTTTATCCGCAACTTCACCAAACCAGTTTTTTAAATGCGGCTTAAACTTCAAAATTCTCAAAAACATAATTAATAGCTTTACACAACTAGTATTTTCGCAAAACGAATTAAGGAGCACTTTTATGAAAAATTTTAAAAATATTTTATAAAGACTTATTCCCAATTAAATTTTCTCAGCTCAATTAAGAACTATTTTAATTTTGTCAATATAAAGAGTGGATCAAAAGATAATCCAAGTCTAAAAAGCAAAGATAATTAAAAACGTCGATCGAATCACGTATGAAGGAATATTAATATGATATAGCTTTCAAGCCCAATTGAACACTTTTGAGAGTATCTTTGCGTGAAAAGAAGTAAACGCATAATTCAAAACACAAATCCCAAGCAAAATTTTCTGGTAGAAGTCAGTTCAATTTAAAATTCAAGTAAAGCAGGTTAATTGGTCAAGTTTTTGTGTTACTAAAATTTATCATTTCAATCTCAGTGAGAGAGAGGTTAAAATTTAAAAAAAGCATTGTTATCATAGTGGCAGTCGGAACTTTCAGTATTTTCTCCTGATAGAGGCACGTAGCCCAGTGATAAGGCGTTCTCATTGACATCGTCAGACCGAGTAATCGTCTCCCTGTTATGGCAATCATACATTGTGAGAATGAGCTCTCACTGGGCCTCTAGCTTCAGGCCTATGACAGCCCGACCAATTTCGGCTGCAATAGTGGTACCACGTTAAGAGCTCTAGACGCAAAAATTGACCTTGAGTCGCAACAAAAAGAGATTCGCTTCACTGAATAACTCCTCCTCCAGACTTGAATATTTCCTCACATGCAAGTCTGGAATGTGAGGAAATACTAGAAAAAAAACTGACTATAAATAGACAGGCTGGATAGCCTTTCATAGATCCTCTGCGAATCACAGAAAAAAAAACTATTATTACACGAGCACTTTGTTTGTTATAGCAATTACCGAGTGGCGAACTGTCTGGCCTACTTTTTGCGATACCTCTCAGCCCAGTATGCTACTGGACCTTGTGTGCTGGTGCTGGCTCTGGACAGATATCTGGCTGTGTGCTGGCCCCATCAAGTCAAGCAGATTCTCACCCGCAGAGTGAGAGTCGCCATCTGCACCACAATCACTCTAATCATTCTCTTCATCGCTATTGCATGTCAGTCTAGCAGCAAAAACTACAAATGCAAATTACAGAAAATATTTCGTGGGAGTTCTAAAAAAAATACGTAAAAAACATGTAGTTTTACATGTTTGGACATGTTTATTACATGCGGCACGCACTTTCTGCCGAGTTTCTAATCACTTGTGAAATTACGTAATTTTTTTCCGTATAATTACATGTTCATTTTTAGAGTGCACTATGACCAGACTCTAGACTGAAGCGACCAAAATTGGGTATTTACAGACCATATGCTGACTCAGTTTTTGAAAACTGAATTTCATTATGGAGAGAGGGGGGGGGTTAGGTGTGAACATTTGACAGTTAAGAGCGCGTTGATTGGTTGACAGTTTCAAACATGCTCAAAGTTATTCAGCCAAAAAACGTTCTTTAAAATGTCGGATTTTTCCAGCAAACTGATTTGACTTATTGTTTCAAAAACTAATGTAACGTCACAATGATACAATGAAGTTTGAAACCCGACTCAAAAGTGTCGCGAAACTGTCTGTCGAAAGCCGCAAACTGTTCTTGAGAACGTGTGGCCGTTATCGGTTTAGGAATGCTTCTATAGTATTTTACTATTAAGTGTACTTTTTGCATTCGATATTCTGCTTTAAAAACTTAAGACCATTTATCCACGAGAGAATGTACAAATAATCGAGCTGTCCAGCTCTTCACGAAAAGTAATTGTTTTTCCCCTAAACGTAAAATAACACGGGTTTTTTGTAATTTTGTTGGGCTGGATAATGGAACCTCAATCTCAAACAACGCATGCGGAACACGATGGGACTCAAACGTCGGACCTTTCGATTGATAGACGGAGAACTTAGCCGTACTTCACCACTGCTCTCAGTCGTTAAATCAATATGAAATTGTTACCGTTTGAGTCAATTCTGCGTGGTTGAAAATTTTTCATCATTCGAACCCCTACCGTTGAATTAACACATGCTTGAAGAGAGCGTTTAAAAAAGATAATGGCAAAATTTTATATGGGAGTGGTTAGCATTACTGATGTGATTAGCATTACAGAACCCAGCTGGTACATACTATCCCTGTATAATTTAGTCAGTTTTTCCGCTTTAGCTGCCGGCCCTCTCCGTGGGTTCTCTTGGCGAGATCTTTTACTACTTCCGATCAATTAGATTGATCATTACGCCACCCATCTTGGTGACCCCTTTTAGCTGCCTCGTAGAACGTCGCGTGGTTTCCCCCGGTCTCTGTTTGCTCGAACCGTTCGTTCCCGATGTCCCCACTCACTCGTTTCCCGAGGATTCGGTCGTGTCGTCCTTCCTACTTTCTTCGCCCTCCGTTATCTCATTCGTCAACTTCGCTCCGCTCGTTATTTGCGCTCGTTGATTCTTGTCGTCGTCTTCGCTGTACTCGTCGCTGCTTGTATCGATTTTCTGTCTCTCGCGCTCCTAGGTCCCGGTTGACATTCGTTCCTTCTGCGTTTGGCGTTTCGGCTATTCTGCTTCCGTCTGTATGCCGTGACGGTATGCCGTGACGGTTGCCGATCTCCGTCGGTATGCGGTGGCGGTTTTTTCGTGAGATTTCGGAGTACGGTGTTTGTCTCTTTTCCATGATGTGCCTCAAACTGTTTTCTTTTAGTTTGGAATGCGGTACAAAAGGCAATGCGCATAACGCCCTTGCTATCATTTTCTTGAGTTTTTGATTGCCGTGTTCCCGTAGGTACGTGAGGACAAAATTTTCATTGAACCGATGGTTCTTTCGACCATACCCGTAGCGCAGTGATCTTTCACCGGAGTTTTTATAAGTTCAATTCCTTCGTAGTTGCAGAAGTTTAATGTTTCGTTTGAAAAGAATCCGGACGCTTGCTCCATATCTACTTTTTTTTGGGTGCCCATGTGTTTCTATTTATTTCCTTAGGAACTTTAGTACCTTTTTCGAAAATTGACTTTAACAAACATAAGCCGAAGGCCAATGTAAAAATGCGTCCACCGCTACTAAGTCATTTTTTGTCGCCCTTTTATGTAATTAACTGGGCCCCAAATTACCAGTTCAACTAAATCGTTCGGTTGCTTCGGGTTGTATGTTGTACCCATGTCTCCCTTTGGTATATCAGGTTTCAGATTTTTACCTTAAAGGCAGTGTTTGTAGAGTTTTGCGGTAGCTGAGAGGTTTCAGTGCATCAGTGGGATCAACACATCTTTCCTAACTGCAAACAATTTGTCCCGCCCGTGGTGATTGTGAGGCAATCTGTTCAGAATTGACGTAGCCAAATCCTTCGGGATCGCCAACAGGTCGTCTATTCAGAAGCAATTTTCTCGTACTGAGAAGTCGTTGCAATGCCGCGCGTAGCACTACCAAGCCGAGTGATAACTTGTGCCCTTGTGTTTAAGTCCCTGATCGCTTCTCTGGTGGTCTTCAACATCGGGTACTTTTCGAGATTGGTCTCCACAAACCTAAAGTCCAAGATTTCAGGGAATTCGAGCTTCTTCTTGATTTTGCAATCCGTTGAGACAATGTATTAGACCCATTTTTCTTTATTACAAGGAATAGAAGAGACCTGGGAGCTGGTGGAGGAACGAGATGATAGTTATCAACTTTTTCGAAGTGTTTGTTTTGGGCTTTACTTTTTCAGGGGGTGTTATTTCGATATCGGAGCCTGAGCTGAGGCTAAGAGGTTGACTCGTGATTTAAGACAACATCTAACTTAAAATATCGTGATTGGTTTGATGCCATGACAATTGTTGAGGTTTTTGGGATCGGGTTTTTCTGGCGAGTTGCGAGTAGACTTTTGACAACTGAGGATTTTGATTGATGTTTAATTGAGCAAATGTATGTAGCTGACTGAGAACAACGCCTGACTTGCGTTGAGCTACATTTGCATAAATCCTTCAGTATGCAAATATCTCGCTTCTAAATGGCTGTCCGTCGGTTGCAAGCAACCACGCCCTCTTTTGAGTGATTATATTTTGGTTTTGAATTTGCATATTCAAATTTTCTTTGATTGCTATGGAATATGAGCCTCTCGCATGATCGAACGCATGTTGGGACGCCTTCAACCGCCGGTGTTTTTTGCATTTTTTTTCACCGTTTGACCCCTAGGATTTAACTGGTCCCGAGGATATAAAGCCTCATTAACCATCCGTATTTTAGCTATTGTAAAACTTCCATCAGAATGACTTGTTTCCGGAGCGGCCGCTGAGGGAAAACGTAAAAGTAATCGACCATGCTCATTTTCGATAGTTGGCGATTATCTACTACAAAATTGTAAGGTAATAAGCGATCTTACCATCGGGTTAGTCTACTGAAAAAAGTTCATTTTCTTTTGGGGACGAACTTAACAAGTTTAATAACGTTTTATGATCCGATCAGACTGGAAAGTATCGCCCGGAAAAATAATTGCAAATTGTTCGGTTACCCATGCTATAGCCAGTAGTTCGAGTTTTTTCGTAAAGAACTTGTTTTCTGCCAAAATGAGGTATGTTGAAGCAAATGATATTAGGTGCCACCTATTCGAAGCGCACTGCTCTGACACGGCCACCAAGCCCTAGCGTTAGGGGCGTCGCAGACTATGCGAGTTTCCCGGTATATAACAAAATTTTCAAGCTGGACCATAATCTTAACCAACCTTTTTAGTTGTTGTAACGCGTTTTCGCACGCCGGAGTCGAGATGAAATCATTATTTAAGCTCAATAACCGCCGAAGTGAAGAAATAACTTCTGCTAGATTCCGTAAAAACTTATGTAGGATCCCGTTAGTGACTTCAACTGTTTTCTAGACTTTGTGGGAGTTAAATTTTTGGCTGCTTGGGTTCGTCGAACCAACGGTGTAATACTGTCTTTCCCGATTTTGAAAACTTGCTATTTACATTCGCTTTTCGAAAGTTCACATTTCAGTAGTTTTAATGTGGCACTAGGTACATGCAGCTTTTAAAGAGTATTGTCGAATAATGCATTGTGTTCGATTTTGGTTCCCTTCGACAAGACGAATATGTCGTCTATAAGAGCGTTCGCTTGAGAGAGTTCTTTGAGAAGGTATCTATAACTTTCTGAAATACCGACGGCCTTGAAGTAAGCCCATAGAACACGTTCTTGAAGCGATATGTTCCCATCGATTTGCCCCCCGCTAATGAAAAATGGCACTGTTCACTGGTTTTTTATCTAGTGCAACTTATCCGTATGCATATGTTGAGTCCAATGTAGTAAAAAAGACATCTCCTGCTTTTCGTTTTGCAATGATTTGACTTATTCCGTCCAGTAATTCATCAATATTTGGCATTTGGTACTTTTTTCTTTGTACTTATTTTTTCAATTCCCTTGATTCTAGTCCTAGTTTTAGGCTTCCGTCCTTCTTTGCTTTGATTACGATTGAAGACAAGAAATGCTTGTCCGAACATTCTTGCAACTTGTTAATGTGTCCTTCCTTAATTAGGCGCGCTATTTTTTTGTTCACCTTATAATGGAGACTCATTGGCACTCTGAGGTCTTTTTGCTCTATTGGGTTTAACGCGTCGAAAAATTTGGCCTTTACCTTTGCGTTCCCTATTATTTAACTATTTTTGAAAAAAAACTCGGATATTACTTACAGAAAAATTTTTGTGATTCGTCTAGCCCCTCTGCACTGTCGCTGTTAACCTCTCCAGTTATTCCCATGACTCCTCCTCTTTGTCCTAGGGTGCCCATCAAGTCGCGCCCAAGGATCAATTGGTGGTTTACTGCGATAATGGACACATTTGCCTGTGTCACCCATCCATTGAATGCGAACTTCACCGCTATTTTCCCCCAGTATATGTATTCGATTGTTGTTGTAATCCAAAAAATTCTTGTCGAATCGGTTGAAGATGTAAGTTTGCTTTTCCTAGTGTTGCTTTCAGATCAGTCATGCACAAGATTGTAACCGGGGACCCGCTATCGACCCAGTGCCGCATTTTCTTTTCCGACACCTCTGCTTGGATTCTAGCACTCAGGTTTTTCAACTCGACTGAATTCTTCATTTGATCGACATTACCATGTAATCGTCGGACCTTGAGAAGATGGATATCTCCTCAGCACCTTCTTGCTGCTGATTGACCCATCCCACTAGCTCCTCTTGCATGTAGCTGCTGTCCACACTGTGTGTGCTTTGATGGTGCTCGTTATCGTCATGGACTAGACCTACTTGTCCTCTTCCCTGCCATTGGTTAGTACTCCGACGCACACCGCTACATGTTCGCTCAAAATGCTCTATTTTCGGCACGCGTTACAAGTTATGCCCTTCGCAGCGCAGTTTGCAAAATGCTCTAACGTAAAGTTTGAGGCATCACAGTTAAAGCAGCGACGGTATCCGGTAACGTTCGCCTCCGGTGCGTATCCTCGTCCCCCGCGCCCTCGGTTTCTGAAGTATCCCACTCCTCTTCTTATTTTACTGACCGGTTCCTGCTTGATGATCATGCGTGGCGGTGGCGATGCTGGTTTCCCCGAGTATGATTTGCAAGGGCGATCTCCTCGTTCGTACCATAATGTGATCCGATAAACTTCTTCTGGCGTCTTCTAGATATTGACAGAACTTGTTGACAATCGGATTCTCCTATGTTTATGATGAAAAAGTCTCTAATATTTTCAGCTGCGTACAAATTAGATTCCAACTCTTTCTCCGACTCCTATTGCTTTTTCCGGATCAAGTCTTTAGTTAGCGCCGCTATCGCCGTTGCGTCCAAAGTAGCATCGAAATAAAAATCATCCGGATCAATATCATACTTAGCAATCATTCCCCAGTGGAATTTGATTATCCACTCTTCCCAATATGTGGGCGGTTCCGGCTTGCGCGCGTCCCAAAATGATATTATGTTCAGTGGGTTCTTCTACCCCACTTTTTTTTTAGCTGACGAGTAAATATCTTTCAATTCAAAAGCAACTGTTTTTTTCAAAATACCTAATAAACTGCACTCTTTTGTTTCAGAGTGCGCCAGACAATATAGCGATCACAAGGTCACCAGCAGCAGGTCCCCAGACGGAACCAATGACTTTACATAACTCAAACTTGTCCCTATATCATTTCATCAAAATAGAGTTATCTTTTAACTTGTGGTTTTTTAGCCTCAAAAATCTAACAGACGGGTCTCTGTATTTTAGCCCCCTAGCTTATTAACGCTAATTGTGTCAAAATTGCAATTTTAAGCAATTGGAAGACATTGGTAAATCTTTGTAGTATACATTTGAGTTTTTTTAGCGTCGGCGATAGTGAGTAAGAATTTGTTGGATGGGGGGAGTACATGTACTACGATGATATGGGGAGACTTGTTGACGAGGAACAACATGGACGGACTTCTGTTCTACCTCCTTCCAGCTTCCATCTCCTGTGTACTCTATTGCATTACGGGATACAGGCTCACACAAATGCGCGGATCTCAAAGGGTCAGCTCACCATTGCTTCTTTTTCAACATCCAACCCCTCTTCCCTCCCCTCCCCCCAACACCCACATTTGAACTCTAATTTTTAAAGACATTTAAAAAAAAAGTTGTCATGATGCAATGAAGTTCTGCATGGGAGCAAATTAACTATCTAATTGTAATAATAATGCAGATAATCATAACATTACTTTCAGGTGAGGTCAATTTACAATCAAATGTGAAATTAATGGCAGCGTTAAGAATAATATCACTTGGGAGAGCGCCATAAGACTAATCAAAGTCTTATGGCGTTCTCCCAAGTGATGTTATTCTGAACACAGTCGTTATTTTCACATTTGATTCTAACTTGACCTCACCTAAATGTAACGGATAGTAGTCCTTACATTTTTTTGCAAAATCGTTTGCAAAACTTGCAACATTCGTGGGCTCTTTTTCCTTTTCCCCCACCTCACACGACCATCATTTTTATAGTGTAACGAGTAATTTTACAAAGTTAATTTTGAACACCAAATATGTTTGTCCTAATTAGTCCGCATGCCAATTTTCATAACGATCGGACAATGTGAACAGTAACTTTACTAGTAAAAAAAAAAAAATGCAGGGGGGGCGGAAAGGAAAAATAGCCCTACTCGTAACCTAAACCTACTCAAATTAACCCTCCCCCCTCACTTTGTCCTCCATCCGCATTTGCTCAAACCCCCTCCTCCTCAATCTCCCCCTCCCCCACTCCCCAACGTTTATCCCTACGCCCACCCCCATGTTTACTAAAGTAGTTTACCCCGGAACCGAACCCCCCAATTTACAGTTTACCCACGGGGAAGGGGAGTTACTCAGTGTGAACAACAAATATTTAACCCCATTCTCCGTTTTAACCCCCTCACTCAAGTTTTTTGTTCCACCCCCCCCCATTTTCTTAACCCCGCTCAAGTTCAGTACACGACGGTGGATTAAACTAAAATGGGGTGGGAGTTAAACTGAGAAGGAGTGAACTGGGTGGGGGAGGGGCGGGGGTAAATTGACGAGCGGTAAACTGTGTGTGTGTGTGTGTGTGTGTGTGTGTGTGTGTGTGTGTGTGGGGGGGGGGTAATTTGGAGAGGGGAGGGGTTGTTATAAGAGGCGATGGAGTTTACGTAGTATAAAAAAGTAGAGAAAATTTAATTAAAATCCTAAGTGAAAAGTAAACAAGTATGAAACGTAATACGTAGCAACTGCACAAAACAAGAAATGAGGTAATTTTTTCTCAGAAAATAAATTATAATCGATTATCATCTATTAAAATGGATTATAATGATTCAAAAATATTATGATTATAATCCACTTTTAATGAATAATAATCGTTTGTACTCGGTTATCATGGATTATGTTGATTAAAAAAATACTAGGTTTATAATCCATTTTTGATGGATTATAATCGATTATCTTTGTAATTTTATTAGTTTTGGCTAAAAAATGACAATTTAAGCGATTATTGTTCATGAAAATCCAGTGCAAGGTGGCTTAAAATTGATGATTCAAATTTAAAAAAAAATTGCGAAAAACATTAAAGGAAACAACTCCACGCAAATTTGCTTTAATGGTTGAAACTGTTTTTTTCTTTGCTTGCAAAGTTAGGTACCTTTTTCTATGAAAATGAGAAACAAATATTGCAAGCTGTTTAGAGGGGTACGATTTTTTAACAGTAGTTGATTGTTTTGGTTCAAATTTAGTGTATTTTGCATAATTGTCGCTAAACAATTTTGAACGAATTTTTTGCAGTTCCTTTTTATCAAAACTTTTGATTAGCATTCACAGAAGACGAGCCCGATAATCCTCGTAACCAACAGTCTCTTCTATAATTGATGTTAATTTTTTGTTTGCACAGGGGCAGATCTAGATTTTTCTCGAGGGAGGTGGGATTTGGATTTTCAAAACCATTTCGAAAATTTTAAAAATTTCGAAATTTTCGACTTTTTTTAAGGTCAATCAAATTAATTTTTTGACCTCTCCCAGAGCTCTAAAAAAAATCCGTTTTGGCCAAAATTTCTGCCCCGCAGGCAAAAGTTTGAAAACAGGCCAGAAAAAAAACGTTTTTGGAAATTTTGGACTAAAAGTTTCCAAAGCTTTAGCGTTTTTTTGGCGAGCGCTCCACTTTCAAAATACCATATTATGGTAACGAAGGTGCCTTACGAAAAGTTTTAGGGTCCGTCAGCCAAAAATTGAAATCTCAAAATAGTACAAAATAGTTGGATCCCTTTGGATCGGCAGGTGGTCGAATCTCTGAGAGGTAGTGGGCGTCCGCCCCCCGCCCCCTTCCCCTGAAAACGCCCTAGTTAGCATACTCATGGATCAATGGAGCTCATCTCGACGTTGGCCACAATATAGCAAAAAGCAAAAATGAGATTGCGAATTTTTCGTTATGCTCAAACCTAAACTGTAGTTTGTTGTATTTAAGGTTTAAGTAGCTGGATCTTTGGTTGAATTTGCCAATTTTTAATCTATTAAAGTTTTTGATGGAAATGTATAAATTTTGGAACTTGAAAAAATTATTTAAAAAAGCTTTGGTAAAATTTTTTTAAATTTGTTTTTGAAAATGGGAGGGCGAGAGATTTTGTGATTAAATTTTTTGTAGTTTTTGCTCCTTTGTTTTACGCACAAGTTCATTATACGCAAAAACCCTCGGAACGGTACGAGTGATATATCATAAAAAAAAACCTTTTCAGTCGTGTTTCGAGCGTCGAAATTCGAGCAATTAAAGCAATCAAGTATCGTTTGATTCATGAAAACTGGTCATTAGGGCTAAGAAAAATTGATTTTAGCAAAACAAAACTAATTTTAAATACTCCATTTACCGCTTCCTAAAAATAAAATCAAATTAGTTGAAAACATTTGTACCTTGTTCATTTTTTCACTGTTTTGTTTGTGAATCACTAAAATCTACGCCTTTGCATACTATAAAAATTTATCCAACAACCCTTTGAAATCTATACTATTTTGCAATAAAAAACTTTATGTTTAATATTATATGATTTGGTCGGAAAACTCATTGCAACTTGCGCAACAACAAGCTATCCTTGTTAGAAGTTTGGTCTGATATAATTTTCAATCAAGTTTTAACGGACATTTCAATTTCAATCAAGTTTTAACCGATTTATAAAAACTGATAATTATTTGATGTGCCCTATTTATATATCCCACCGTCTCGGCTACAGATTTGTTGTCGATCGAAACTACTTGGCCTGGCCTTGAAAAAAAAAAGTTTGAAAATGGGTCTTTATAGCACGTAAAAAAATTCGTTAGAGAACCATCAGTACTTGAGGATCCTAGACAACTAGAATTTCAAAATAAGGTTTTGTGGCGAAAGTCATTCTGATTATTTGATAGAACTAATAACTTCAGGATACAAATTTATTGATATATTTGTATCCTTCTAACGTCCTGGTTAGTTTAGTGATGTCGGCAGGTTTTTAAGGGTTGGCCAATGTTATAGTCTTATGGCGCTCTCCCAAGTGGTGTTATTCTTAACACTGTCCTTAATTCCCATTTGATTGTAACTTGACCTCACCTAAAAGTAACGGATTATAGTCCTTACGTTTTTAGCAAAACCGTTTGCAAAGATTGCAACATTTATGGGCTCTGTATCCTTTTCCCCCACTTCACACGACCATCATTTTCATGGTGTAACGAGTGAGTTTACAAGGTTAATTATGACCGCAAAATATATTTGTCCTAAGTAGTCCGCATGCCAATTTTTGTAACGATCGGACAATGTAAACAGTAACTTTACTAGTACAAAAATTGCAGGTGGGGGCAAGGAAAAAGAGCCCTACTTGCAATCTAAACCTACTCAAACTAACCCTCCACACTCACTTTGTCCTCCATCCGCATTTGCCCGAACCCCCCTCCCCCTCCCCCACTCCCCAACGTTTAACCCTACGCCCACCCCCATGTTTACTAAAGTAGTTTAGCCCGAAACCCAACCCCCCAAATACAGTCCCCCCCCACGGAACAACACCTAGCTATCCCCATTCGAACAAATTTTTTGCATTGCCTTTTTAACAAAATTTTTGATTAGAATTCACAGAAGAGAAGCCCACTGATTCTCGTAATTAACAGTCACTTCTATAATTGATGTTTATTTTTTGCTTACATTAGGGGCGGATCTAGAGTTTTCTTGAGGGGTGTGGGACTTGGATTTTCAAAACAGTTTCGAAAATTTAGTCGACTTTTTTTAAGGTCAATCAAATTGATTTTCTGAGCTCTCTCAAAATAGTACAAAGGGGGGACCCTTTGGGTCGGCAGGTGGTCGAGTCCCTGAAAGGTAGGGGGCGTCCGCCCCCCGCACCCTTCCCCTAAATCCGTCCTGGTTAGTTTACCCCTGGATCAACGGAGCTGATCTCAACGTTGGCCACAATATAGCAAAAAGAAAACACGAGATTGCAAAATTTTTGTTATTTTCAAACCTTATTTGTGGTTTGTTGTCCTTGGCGCTTAAGTAAATTGATCTTTGGGTGAAATTTCTATATAAAGCTGTTAAATTTCTCGATCGAAATGTATAAATTTTGGAACAAAAAAAAATTATTTAAAAAAATGCATTGATAAAATTTTCTTTAATTGATTTTTAAAAATGGAAGTTCGGAAGATTTTGTGTTCAGGTCTTAGTAATTTTTGCTTCGTTGTTTTACACAAAAATTCAGTTAACGCGAAAATCCTTGGAGTGGTACGAGTGATATAGCATATAAGATACTTTTCAGCCGTGATTCAAACGTCAAAATTTGAGCTATTAAAGCGATCAAATATCGTTTGATTTATAAAAAATGGTATTAGGGCTAAGAAAAATTGATTTTAGCAAAAAAAATTATCTTAAAAGCTTCATTTACAGCTTCCTCGCCAAAAAAATTATTCAAAACATTTTGAAAATTTGGTACGGTTTTCATTTTTTCTTCTCTTTTTTTGTTTGTGATACACTATAATTTACCGCCTAGCAGACTATTGAAATTTATCTAACCATCCTTAAAAAAATATGC